CCCCCAGGTTAGATACAATATATCACTGAGTTATTGTGGCAGTAACTCAGAGCAGCTTGCCACATCACATCTGTAGTCAGGAGCAGAAATGAACGAAGCCCTCATGCCACCCACTCGCTCTCCGCTTGCATTCTCCACCCTTAACTGTCCAGAACCCCAAACCAGGGAACGGCACCTCCCATAATGGGCAGGTCTCCCTACCTCAAGACACCCTCAACCCCAAGAGGCATTCCAGACAATTCACCAACTGAGGCTGTTTTCTCAGGAGATTCTAGGTTAGGTTAAGTTGATGTTTAAAACTAACCAGCATAGGATCCATGTAACCTGACAATAGCGGGTCTTGGGTCAATTTTACACTTAGAAATGTTTTGAGCCTCTGCTGTCTTTTGCTCCTCACGGAAGGTGAACTAAAAGCACAATCCGAACACAGCAACTCAAAAATCCCATTTCCATTTTTGACAACACCACCACTGTGCACTTGCTGCTTTGTGAACACTGTTTCACTCCGGATGCCTACCCCAATCCTGCTTTTTCCAGGGTCACTCCCTCCCTACCTGTGAACTATGATTCCATCCCCTCAGCTGCCCTGGCCAGAAACTGACACTGTTCTCGAGTCCTCTTTCCCTCACCTCCATGCAGCTCCCAGGGAGACCCTGCTGTCTCCACCTTCATGGTGTCTTGAGACCAGCCCCGGCTACTCTGCTTCTCCCAGCTAACACAAATCATCACTCTCTTATCTCCTCCCTTGCTGTCACAGACTCCTAGCTTGGCTCCTTGCTCCCATCTGTGGCTGCTGAGAATTATTCATTCTTTGTGTTTGTGTGTGCATGCTTGTGTGTGCGTGCATCTGTGTATGCATCTGTGAGTTTTCATCTGTGTGCGTGCATGTGGGCATATGTGTGCCATGCCGCACATGCACCCTGGGTGTCCACCCTTTCCTTCCACCTTGTTTGAGACAGGATCTTGTTGCTGCTGTCCATGCCAAGCTAACTGACCCACAAACTTCCAGAGACCCTCTTGTCTACTCCTCTACGTCTCCATCTTGCCATGGGAGTGCTGAGGTTGCAGACACATCCCACCATGTCTTGCTTTAGCTCTTGGATTCTGAACTTAGGTCCTCATGTTTCCATGGCAAGTGCTTTACCCACTGAGCCATCTTCCCAGCCTCCTTTCTGGGGTCCCTGAACGTAGCTTTATAGTCGCTGCCCAATCTGGAGACGTTCAAGCCGCTATCTTCCTCTTCTTTGCCACAGATTCCACTTACATGCATTTTAGACGGATCAGATCATAATTGTCCCAGACTTTCTAGACTTTTCACTTTTCAAGACTTTATGTTTTATTTTGGTCAGCTTGTTTTGCTATGCCTTCAAGTTCATTTTCCCCTGCAATAGCTAATTCATCCTTAGTCTATGCATATTTCATCTCGGATACAGTTGGTTTTAGTTCTGGAGTTTGGGAGCTAGAGAGATGGCTCAGTGTTAGTTAAGAGCACTTGCTGCTCTTGTAGAGGATTCGGTTCCCAGAACCCACTTGACAGCTCATAACCATCTGTAACCGCAGTTCCAAGGGACCTGATGTACTCTTCTGAATTCTGAGGACACCATATCAGTCACGTATACATGGGGTGTATTCACATACATGCAAACAAAACACTCACAGGCATAAAACAAACAAAGTAAATCCTCATTTCTAGAGTCTGAGTCTTTATATATTGTCTACATCTCTGCCTAACTTTATAAACAGGACACAGCTGCAGTATCTGGCTAAGACCACATCTGTATCAGCTCCAGGAGGTTCTGGCTGATGACTGTTCTCATTAACACAGGTCACCTCCCTGCTACTTTGCACTCTGACTGATTTTTGGCTGGCTATCAGTGTCCACAGTTCAGTGTCTGATTGTACATCTGCACCCTTGAGCTCTGAGTTACGTTAAGTTACTTGAAAACACTTCTATCATTCCAACTCATAATTTACGACGATTTCCAAGACTGGTCCAGAGGGCTAAAGAGTTCCCACAGCAAGATAAATAAAGACAACCAGGCACTACACCCGCCTCCTCATGAAGTTTCAATTTTGAGCTTTCCCAGCCTGAGTGGTGAGAAAAAGCAGTTATCAGCCTTTGGTGGAGTTTCTCTAGTCCTGCTGGGTAATTCTTTACCCTCCAAGACACACGCTGAAGAAGAACCCTGAGTGACCCTCTCCAGGCAGCTCAAGGTCTCTCTGTGTGCACTCTGGGATCTGCCAGATACCCATCGCCACGGCTAGCAGTGGAGGCATATGCCATCACACCTGGCTTTTATGTGGATACTGGGGATTTGAACTCAGGCCTTTATAGTTGTGCTGTAAGCACTTTATCCACTGAGCCTTCTCCCCAGACCATCTCATTTTATCAGTGTGTGTAATACGACTGTCAGAGGTAACGAGCTTTACCTCCCTTTTCATCTGGACTCTGTAACCTGTTGGGGGTTGTAGAGAGGCTCCGGAGAATCTGACCTATTACAATAATCCATACATTCTTTTGAGGAAATTCAGCATATATCATAAACTAATCATGTTAACACAAAAGGAAAAATCAAAAGGGGACATGGGAGTGGGGATGTAGTAGGTGAAAGGCTCCGTTCTCATCTACTTCTGCCTGAAGGTCAATGTTCGGGATGGAGCAGGTCCTGGCTGCAGGCTGCTGTCATCCCCATTGTGGTTAGCTTGGCACTGGGACACTGACCATCCAACTGCCTGCTCCCAGAGAAGCCTGAAGATCCACTCACGTCTGCAATCGAAACTCCCTTATGTCACCCGCCATGGGTCCTGAAGAGCCCCTATGTTTGGTTGCCAAGCAGCCCGGTTGGGTTCCCCAGCAAGTGGGCCAGCCCACCAGCCAGCCCATGTTCACACTCACTTGGCTGGAGGTGCAGAGGGCAGGCCTGCTCAGAGCCAGCTGGCTACCTTCCACATGCTTGTCCAGCAACTTGGGGCCAAAGTGTCTAGCTCCTGTTCTCCGTGGGTGTATGTCTCTGGGGCAGCTTCTGGTGTAAATAAAGGTGACTGGCATAAGCAAATAGCCCCTCTATCTTGCACTTGGGGTGCTGCTGCCAAAATTCAGTTTGAAGGGATAAAAGGAAAAGCGGAACCCCGACTCCTGCCTGAGAAGTTGTTTAAGCTAAAAGAAACCAAAGGCAGCATGCTACACAACAGGTCTAATTTACTCCTGTGCTCCCACTGACAAACCGAAGAGAAGTCTCCCCAGAGGGAGAGGAGGTCTTCAAGGTATCTTCTGTCTATTCGCTGCTGGAAACTCAGCTTCCACACTTGGTGACTGGAAAAAGCAGGTGTTGGATGTATTCAACATTACTAAGCAGGAGGCTAGTTGGGTGGACAGGCTGCTAACAGAGGTGCCAAAAGCCTCCTGAGCTCAGAACCCTCTCCCAAGTTGTGGATACATTTCAGGGCAACATTCTAAATGTGGAAAAACAAACAAACAAACATGTACAAAATAAGAAGGAAAACCTGTAGAGATGGCTCAGCGGGTAAGGCGATTGCTACCAAGCCCGAGTTCGATCCCAGAAACCTACCTGGTGGAAGGAGAAAAGTGACTCCTAAGCTGTCCTCTGACCTTCACAGGCATGTTGTGGCATATGCACCATCACACACACACACACACACACACACACACACACACACACACACACACGAAATTTAAAAAAGAAAGGAAGCAAATCGGGCAGACGCCATTTCCAACTTTGGACTGTTCAGTTGAGGATTTACTTACTCTATAATCATATAAAAATATCCCTCATGGAATCCATTTCCTACATATGTCAGCGTAGCATTTAGTGAGTTACATGAGCCGGGCCTGACGACAAAGGCCTGTCATCCCAGCTATTCGGGAAGCTGAGGCAGGAGGTCAGAGAGTTGAAGGCCCACATCAGAAGAGTGAGAGACGATGAGTCGCTATGTTGCTTCTGAGGAGCTCACGATGGTGGGAGGTTGGGACGACTGGTGTAAGTTTTTTACAGTTATGACAGTTGGCGCTCCTGGTGTCAGGCACAGGTTTGGTCTACTAATGCCCAGTGTTAGCTCACTGATCCGAACCCAGCAACACCAGTGTGGTTGAACAACACTCTCATATGACAGCCAAGGATTCTAGAGCATTACTGAAAACCATGAAACAGATAGTAAATCCCACAGGCAAGCACCCCAGGTTCTTCTTCTGTCCCCTCTGGGCAAGAGTTTGATGCAAAGGGTCCAGTCCTGGGGACAGCCTATCTTCCAAGTGAGGCTTCTTGGCTATGTGGTTTCTATATGGTTTCCTATTCTACCCTCTGTCTGCATCAGAGTCACCTTCAGGGCTTCGGAGGACACTGATGGCTGATGGCCTCCAGTGCTTTGGGACAGTTAATCTGAGGAGAGACACAGGAGTGGGCTGGAGAGAGCCCAGTGGGTGAAGTGATTGCTAAGCAAGGCAGATGACCTGGGTTTGAATTCCTAGAACCCACAGAAAAGCTAGACATGGGTGTGGACTATCTGTCATCCCGGGACTCCACCAGTGAGAAGGGAAGAGGGGAGAATTTCTAGGAGCCGGCAGCAGCTAGCCTGCTGTATACACAGAGAATAACAATCAGACCCTGTCTCAAACAAAGCAGAAGGCAAGGACCTACACCAGGGGTTGTCCTCTGACCTCCACATGTGTTGTGGCACAAGTGCCCCTCACCCACTCTCGAAAGTATAACAAATCCCCAGGTGAACTGATGCCACTGTTCTGCAGACACTTGGAGAATTGTTGGCTCCTCCTTCGAGTGAAGGATCACACCGGTGCACCATCCCCCACCACACCAGCTCCAAGCTTCTAGGGTCTGATTGCTCAGGCCTCTGCAGAGGCTGCAGCTGCAGAGGCTGGCAGCTGGCTGGCAGCACCTCATGGGGATGTTTGTTTTAATGAATTCACAACCCAGAGCAATGGGCAAAATCCTTAGACAGCAGAAGATGAGAGACGGGACACTCACTTTGGGTGCCGGATATCGGGGAGAGAGCGATTCAGGGAGATTTTATCACTGACGTAGATGTTAAATCCGTTTTCCCGGTATGCCTGGTCCACTCTCTCGGCATCGGTCATGGGGTAAGGCTTCCCTTGTTCTCCATGTCCTAGAGGCAGAGAGCAAATTCAGTGTTGCTGGTTTACCTGATACCTACAAGGGTCGAGACTGGGGGAAAAGAATGACTGGACCTCAGAGCCTTACACCTGGGGCTGGAGAGACTGCTCAATGGTTGGCGCACTGGCTGCTCCTGCAGAGAAACTCACACTTGGGTCCTAGCATTTACACGGTGGCTCACAACCACCTGTAACTCAAGTTCCAGGAATCAGATGTCCTCTCACTGCTTTCACAGGCACTGTACGCCACGTGGTACACAGACTTACACGCAGGTAAAACACTCATACATATACAGTGAAAACATTTACAAAATTAAAAAAAAAAACAACTTATACCCAGCCATGGGGCACATTAGTCACATTTGCATTATTGTGACCAAGGATCTGAGAAAAACAACTTAATGGAGGAAGGGTTTTATTTCAGAGAGTTCTGTCCATCATCATGTGGCTCTGTGCTTCTGGGCCTGTTGTGAAGCAGAACTCATGGTGGCAGGACTATGTGGAAGAGGCTGGTAGGCTCAGGGGGTACAGGAAGCAGAAAGAGGGAGTACAAGAAGAAGTCAAAGTGAGATTCAGCCGAAAGGACACCCTCCAACTCCCAATGTTCTACTTTCTGCACAGAGGCCCCACCCATACTTTTATCTCTTCCCAAACTGTCATGGTTTCAGTTTCATCACTGTTGGGTCCCAAACCCTGCTGGTGGTGTTCTGGAGCCTTCAAAAGCAGCACCTTCCGGAAACCTCTCTCTCTCCAAAGGTTTCTTTGCAAAGTGGGCTGATCACTCACTGCTCTCAAAAGAAGCCACGCCCTCTCACTCCCTCTGCTACCTGGAGACTGGAGACAACCTGACTACAGGCCAGCACTACGGACTACTACTAGAACATATATTAACTAAGCCTGCTTCCAGGCTGTGCAAGGAAACCTTTAAGGATGGACACCATGCTTTGTCTGCTGAGACTGAAGGCTTTCTCTTCAGGCCCTCACTAGACCATATTTGTTCGACAGTAATAAATCTCTTCCCTTGAAGAGGAGTTCATCTTGGTGCCTTTCTCCTAAACTCATGTCTTCTAGTATTCCTCTCTATAAGCTAATCTGCATCAGGTCAGAGCTCCAAAGCTCTGCTTATCTCTGAAGAGGCCCTCACAGACACACCCTGAGTGAGTTCTACTAATCTAAGCACATCTTAAAAACCCCAGGAAATCAAGATTTAAAAGAATAAGTTTTCTTCTATTTTGTAAATCACATGGGGGCTGGAGAGATGGATCAGCAATAAAGAACACTTTCTCACAGAGGGTCCGGGTTTAGGTGCCAGCACCCATACTGTGGTTTACAGCAATCCATAACTCCAGTTCTAAGGGATCTCAAGTGCTCTTCTGACTGCTTCAGGCACCAGTCACACATGTAGTACCCATATATACACACAGGCAAAACACTCATACAGATGAAACGAAATAAATAAATTTAATTTTTACAAAAACTTTGTGTGTGTGTGTGTGTGTGTGTCTGTATGTGGGTATGTGCAGATATGAGTGCAGTGCCTGTGGAGGCCAGAAGAGGGCATCATATCCGCTGGAGCCAGAATTATAAGGCAGTTGTAAACTGCCTGACATGAGTTCTGGGACCAAACTTGTTATCTCTGTAAGAGCAGCAAATGCTCTTACCTGCAGAGCCATCTCTCTAACCCCAACAATCAAGATGAACTTCACCCAAGCATCCCCCCAAATTGCGAAAGAGGAGGTGAGAAGAAAGGGTGGAGTACAAGCACTCACTTGGCCAAGATCCTATCCTATACTCTACTGATCTTTTCCTTGTAGTTACCATAGCAACCCTGTCCAGTGGACTTGAGAACTGTCACTCTGAAGGCATACTGAGATTCATAAAAGGTTACAGAACCAAGTGCAAGGGCCTAAGCCCATGCTCCCTGCACTCTCTCTAGAGCCAGAACCTCCTGTCCATTCAGTCCCCACCACCAGACAGGAGGCTGGTCTACTTTCTCTGAGGTGATGAACCCTCAGTTACAACTGTCTTCTCTGGTACCAGCAGTAAGTATGTCTGGGGGAGTCAAATGAGAGGCTACACAGTGATAACTTTCTGTAAGCTGTCAAATACCAGATAAACTTGAAGAGATCTGATTATCATCATCTAAGTGAGGCAAATGTTCTGTGTCAATCAAAATTGCCATAAACAAGGGCTGGAACATAGCTTAGTGGCAGAGTGTTTGCCTAGCACCTATGAGGTACTGGGCTGGGGCTGGATCCTCAGTCCAGCTGTAAACAAGTAACAAATGATTTTTAAATGCCATGATGATACAAGATGCTTTGATTTCTCTTTAAAGTTGGGAGATAACTTAAGAGCCGCCTTATCTACTAAGCCAGGTCTACATGGAAAGTTCTGTTGCCAAGTCCCGGATTCAATGGACAAAGGGTTGGCAACCTCTGTGCCATATTTCTGAGAAGGGTCTCTAATGTTCCAAGAGCATGTTCTCTGGGGTTCTCATGAGCTTCTTGTGACTGAGAACAGACACAACCCTGGGAGAAGCATCTCGAGGGTCTGCATGGCTGTGTCCCAGTTAGTCACTTTAGCAGCTGCTTAGGGCCAATTGTCCTCTGGGTGTTACAAAACCAAGGTCAGTGAGGCTGCTTCAGTGCAACAGGTGGAAAGATGTCTGACCTCTGCTGAGAACCAGGCTCCAAGAGACCTGCACAGCTATAGTCAGCCCCAAATGCTGAGTAGAGTAGAGGGGACAAAGGCCAGCCAGCCGGACATCAGCATAGCATCCTGGCAATGCTGTGGCTTCTGCCTTCTCATCAGACAAGGTCCTCTGTGATGGTGGAGGCCCTATGTGAACTTAGCACTCCTCAGTCTTGTTAGTCACTTTTTCTTTTTATAATTAGGCAACTTCATAAATTACTTAAAAATATTTACTCTTTAATACTTATGTATAATTTTATTTCAACAAACAAGAAATTAAACAGCCATTTGCTTTTCTTAATCTCTCAGTTGTTCTTTCTTCCCTCGCCAGGCAGCCCTATATTCTAATAATTCAGGCACAACTGTCTGGCCAGCTATCTCTTTGCAGATGTTTCCTTTCTTAATTTAAAGGCGTACCCTTCTGATTTCATGTAACATTCCTGGCACATAGGGTACCATGTGTCGGGGCTGGGGATGCCCTGGGCATCAGCTCAGTTATTACACCCGTTCTCTTCTGAGCTCTGTGGTGAGTTGGTTTTGTCATGAATAATTTAGAAGGGACACCTTTAACCCAGATCACCACACACCATTTCAATCCCTCTTGCTGCTGTATCCACTTTCCACTCAAGCAAAGCAACATTATAGCTGTCTTCTCCCTTCACACCCTCGGAACAACCTTTCGAGGCTGCCCAAGCAGACTGCGTGAGGTCATCCGTAGATGGAGAGACAGAGGCTCAGGAAGGGTGGAACTCAGTGGTGGACCCACAGGCTTGCAAGTGGCCTTGCAGCTGCTCTCCTGACTTTTGCTTGGATTCTGCAGAGAAGAATCTCCACACAGTCTCTGTATCTTTTTGTGTTGGCCCTTCCCCCATCAGCCTTACAGGGATGGTGACAAAGCCCTATTAGCAAAAGGAATCTGTAGTTGGTGAGGAACTGGCTCTGCCTTCCAGCCCTGGGTTCCAGTCCCAGGTGACTTGCTCTCTCCCTGGGTGATGGCTGGTAGGTGGCAGCATCTCTCTAGAGTACAGAATCCCTCTTATTCAGCGGTCCATAAAGACCAATCAGGTTGCAGAGGGTGGAACTTGCTCGTGATCAAACCCAATCCGTGTCGATTGGAAACGTTATTCCTTAGTTTGGGATGGGACTTGCAAGGATGGAGACAAAGTCACGTGCTGATATGCAGGTGGCAGGGCAAACATGGAGACAGTGGATCTGGTGCTGACAGCAGAGGTCACACGGGTGAAAGGTAGGTACGGTTATTAGGAAAGACGGTGGGAGGCATGGAGTGAACAAGAGGTCCAGAAAATCCCTAACACACTCAGCACGTGTGCACACACCCATGGCACACTTACACGATGCCCACACTCAGCCCCGCCCTCCATACCTATGCGCTGTGAGTCCCTCCTGATAGCCTCCTTGTTATGCCAGTCCTTCAGCCTTTGTTCAGCTCCCAAGAAAAATGTCTTTTTTTGTCGACTGTGAAATTCCTTTAAAAAAAAAAAGAAAAGAAGAAACCATGAAAAAGAAGAAAAAGGGAATAAAGGCAGTAACAATGGCTCAGAAGCTATGTTGCTTAAACAGAACACTATCTATCGCCTGTCCAGCCCTCAACATCTTCCTGAGTGCCAGCCGTGTGCCTGTTAGACAGACAGAGGCCAGGGGGACACAGACGCTCAGCACGGCCCCTTGGGAACTCGCCACCCAGAAGAGGAAGGGAAGACATACTCATCCATGGGACAAAGTGCCAAGAGTGTTGCTGCCCAACAGGAAGGTATGTGAAGCGGCCCTGACAGGCGAAGCCAGCTGCTTTCCACACTGAAGAAAGAAAGCGAGGCTGAATGTGGTGGTGAGCCCCTGTAATCCAAACACCCAGCAGGTAGAGGCAAGAAGACCACGAGTTGTAGGCCAACTTGGCCTATACAGTGAGACACTGTCACAGGTCAAACCAAAACAAAAATAAGCAGAGGCTAAGGAGCACAGTTACGGTAGACTGCGTGTTTAGCATTCACGAGGCCCTGGGTTCGATCCTCAGCACTCTCAAGGAACAATCAAGAAATACATGACGTTAGTTGGTTTGAGTAACATATTTACTTTTTAAAGATGTATTTAATCTCTCTCTCTCTCTCTCTCTCTCTCTCTCTCTCTCTC